TTGATAATTTTAATAATCTGTATTCTTTTTAATTTACCAGAAACTTCTAAATAAATTCTCACCCTATACTGAAACTTGTTTCACCGTCTCACCGCCACCAGCTGGAAAGGCACTTGATGTCAATTTGAACCCCGCCTACTGGAACCGGTACTAAAAGCATAATGGAAACACAGCGTGTACCGTACCGAGCCGAGTAGAACCATGCTGTACCGGTACTAAAGGTACTAATGGAAAAGGGGCAAAAGAGAGACTGCAGCTGAAGTCAGTGCTTCCAGAACTACCATGCACAGACATTTGCAAGACTAGGAGTTCAGCTGTCACATTCCTTGTGTCAAGCCACTCTTGAACAAGAGACAGCGTCAGAAGCGTCTCGCCTGGAACTGCTGCTGAGTGGTCCAAAGTTATGTTCTTTGATGAAAGTAAATTTTGCATTTCCTTTGGAAATCAAGGTCCCAGAGTCTGGAGGAAAAGAGGAGAGACACAGAATCCACATTGCTTCAGGTCCAGTGTCAATTTTCCACAGTCAGTGATGGTTTGGGGTGCATGTCATCTGCTGGTATTGGTCCACTGTGTTTTCTGATGTCCAAGGTCAACGCAGCCATCTACCAGGAAGTTTTAGAGCACTTCATGCTTCCTGCTGCTGACCAACTTTATGGAGATGCAGATTTCATTTTCCAACAGGACATGGCACCTGCACACAGTGCCAAAGCTACTAGTACATAGGAATGCGCATAGGAATATACGATACACGGTAGAAACAATAGAAATTTAGCCTACAATAGAGATCTGTCTTCTACCGGCTAACCGCAGTAATGCTGTCTCTTTAGTAAAATCAGAGTTGTCAGTTGAATCGTTACTTTTTTTTAGTTGTAAACTGTGCGTAAGTGGTGTTAAAGTATTTTCTTCGAGAGCTAAGTAGCAAAGCTACAAGCTAACTATGGCCGGCTTGCCGTAGTGTTGCCGTATTTAGACGCATGCGCAAAATGCTGTGTTCCGTCAAAAGTTTTTTTAGTTTTTTTATTCTTCGTCAAAAGTTAAAGTAAGCGTTGGTCAGCTTTAGAGAAACCTGCTCTCTGATCTGTGAAAAGAACGCTGTGTTGTGTGATTTTACTGCGAGAATCTCTGGCCAGTGGCCACACTCATTTTGTGTTAACTCTCCTTAAAGCAGAAGGAGTCACCCACTAGAGGGTTGGAGCGTGATGTGTTTTCAGTGTAAAATGCTGCTCTGTTGCTGTTCATTTTTTAAGTGAGAATACTGGAAACTCTTCAGAGTTAACAACATATTCTTTTATTTAAAGCATATGGCTAAAACTAAGTTTGATATCTTTTGCACTGTTTTGCTCTACAAGAAAGAAGCCTAATACTTGATTTGTTTATTATTTAAAAACTCTCTGGACCTAGTAGTGGAATTTTCTTAATTCAAAATAAATGATGACCAAAGGACACCCTATGCTTTAAAAAAAAAATCCTATTGCAAGTTTTATACCAAAAACATATCACGATATACTTTGTATATCGTTATCGCCACCCATCACAATGCATATTGTGATATGAATTTTATGCCACATCGCACATTCCTACCAGTACCTGGTTTAAGGACCATGTATCCCTGTTCTTAATTGGCCAGCAAACTCACCTGAACTTAACCACATAGAAAATCTATGTGGTATTGTGAAAAGGAAGACGTGATACACCAGACCCAACAATTTAGAAGAGCTGAAGGCCACTATCAGAGCAACCTGGACTCATAACACCTGAGCAGTGCCACAGACTGATCGACAATGCCACGCTGCATTGCTGCAGTAATCCAGACAAAAGGAGCCCCAACTAAGTATTGAGTGCTGTACATGCTCATACTTTTTAGTTGGCCAACATTTCTAAAAATCAATTTTCAGAGCAGTAGTAGAAAAAGCGCAATCCCCTCGAAGAAGAAAGAAGCTGAAGAATAATCAAGATAACCAGAAAACATTAAAATGTATCACTTTCTGTCAAACAAAAAATACTTTTTGAACTGAAATAAGATAACTTTTTATTATTATTATTTTATCTGTGTGTTTGTGTGGCTCTCCAGGACCCTGACAGACCTGTTGAAGCAGCAGGGAAGTGAAACCAGCTCAGTAGAAAATGTCACAACCAGTGCACCCAGTGGAGGGAGATCCAACAGCATCTCAGCCAGGATGCTGCACAGTAGGAGTGGTGAGTGCAGAGAGAGCACAACACACGCGCGCGCACACACACACACACACACACACACACACACACTTTCAAAAGTTTGTTGACTGTGTTGGCCATCTTGAACTTGGTTGCCTCCAAAACTTGATCAGTTCTGTTTCCAGTCATGACTTTCTGTGAGCTCCAGTAAAATATGACCAGTGGTTCATGAGCTATTTCGCTAGTGGATAAACAGGATTAACTCCAACAAATAATGCTTAAACATTTGTCAGACTAGTGGGATGGGGGTCCACAAGAGAGTCATTTCAGTTTGTTATGCTTTTAACAACAGCAGTAAATTTAACATTTGATGAATAATACAACATTTTAAATGCATAAAAATGTTTTTGTTTTATTTGCTTGGAGGATTTTTTTTTAGTGTGCCGCTTTTCTCACTGCAGTTCATTTGTTGAAACTTCTTAAATAACATTTCCAGCACTTAGTGGTAAGAACCTGGATTATTGAGCATGCATCAGGATATACATGTTCAATGTTCTAAAATTCTGTAGTTATAGTTTAATAGTTTTTAATGTTAAAGCAGTTATCGTGACAAGTCTATATATGGAAAATTTTAAACAATACTCTTAATGTGAATCATACTGAAACAGACATCATGTCAGGGATGAAACCCATAAAGATTGACACTAAAAGGGTGTTTTCGTCTTTATGTTCTGTTTTATTCAAACGGGTGGTCAGTGGTATGGTCTTGTAAACCTGAGGTTGCAGGTTGGAACCCAGGTTGTGTCATGAAGAAAATCTGGTGTAAAACAACTGCCAAATCTTCCATTCATGTTCGCTCACTGTGACAACGCCTGAAGAAGGGAGCAGTAAAAAAATAAAAAATAAAAATAATTATATATATATATA